TTGTTGACGACCCGATGCATCATGGTTGGTCGGTAGTGTTATCAGCGCCTAATAGAGAATATAATGATGATGTTATTGGTGTCTTAGGTGATGTGAGAATTGAGTGTGAGCCATTTACTAGAGGGATGCCAAATGTTGAGACATTTGATGAACTAGTGGGTGAGTTTGGGAGTCAAAATATTCGAGATGGGTGTGAAGATATATGGATTGAATGATGCTCTCTTAACCGCTATTTCCACGTCAATATTAATGGAAAAAGTGAAGTAACAATACTATTTCACGACAGTTATATAAATATATTCGACGTTGTATGATTTAATAACGTCATATTTTATTTATTTAAAGATGTAGTGTTTTCTTTTACACGACGAATGTTGTATAAAATAAGTCGTCTATTCTTCTCCATGACAATTTTTTGGTTCATTTTTCAGTGTACAGACGTCGGTTGTTTTTGTAAATGACGTTGTTTATTATAATAACGATGGTGATTTACCTTAACCGCTATTTCCACGTCAATATTAATGGAAAAAGTGAAGTAACAATACTATTTCACGACAGTTATATAAATATATTCGACGTTGTATGATTTAATAACGTCATATTTTATTTATTTAAAGATGTAGTGTTTTCTTTTACACGACGAATGTTGTATAAAATAAGTCGTCTATTCTTCTCCATGACAATTTTTTGGTTCATTTTTCAGTGTACAGACGTCGGTTGTTTTTGTAAATGACGTTGTTTATTATAATAACGATGGTGATTTACCTTAACCGCTATTTCCACGTCAATATTAATGGAAAAAGTGAAGTAACAATACTATTTCACGACGGTTATATAAATATATTCGACGTCGTATGATTTAATAACGTCATATTTTATTTATTTAAAGACGTATTGTATTCTTTTACACGACGGAGGTTGTATAAAATAGGTCGTCTATTCTTCTCCAAGACAATTTTTTGGTTCATTTTTCAGTATACAGACGTCGGTTGTTTGGTTGTTAATGACGTTGTTTGTTATAACAACGACGGTGATTTCGCGTCGTGGTTTTACTTTGCAAAAGACGTCGATCGATTTTACGACGGTTTGAAAACCAAATTCACGACGGTGAATTCCCGTCGTCTTTTGCCTTTTTTGTAGTAGTGTGAATTACGTGACTCACGTTCTTTACATGAAAATTTCTCTTCAAGGATGCAAACTCTACTTTACATGCGTAACACATTATTGGTTCTTATCGTACGTAGGACACTAGCTAGATTTTTCTTCTTTCTTTTTTCGGTATGAAGGACACTAGCTAGATTTTTACTTCTTTTTTTCGGTCTAAAGGACACTAGGTATGTATTATGTCGTGACTCACATTTTTTTTATCATTTTATTTGAAAATTTCTCTTCATGGATGCAAACTCTACTTTACATGCACGTCACATTATTGATTCTTATCCTACTACACTAGCTAGCATTTTCATTCTTTTTAGTGAGAAAGAAACTATCCCAAGTATATTAGCAAGTCGTAATATTTATGGCAAGCCAATCTTCATGATGAGCAAAACTGTCTCTTTTTTCAGAGTGTGGTCCAAAACAACATATATGCTACTGCATGATTAAAGTTACAAGGCAAACAGACTTTTTATCTGATTTGGAGACAAAAAGCTCTCATATGATTAGTGTACTTACTAATAAAAATATATAACAATCTTCCCATTCACATAAAGTCATTCAAGTGTACATCATTAAAGTTCCTTCACTATCAATATTGTGTCATATACATCCAAACATCAAGCATCACTCTTCTAAATTAAGCTTCTATTTTCTTGAAGCCCAAGTGATCGAATTTCTGTGGCATGTTGTGCTATATATAAATATGCATGACATCCACAGATTATTCAGGCCAAACCAAAAAGAACAAAAGAAAAGAAAAGAATAGACACAAATCTTCCTTTCGACAAGCAGCAGTTTGAAATTAAATGGCCCAAAAAAATGAAAATGTAGTTTCTAGGGAGAAGGAGCTGTTAGAGAGGCAAGTCACAAGAAGAGGAGGTGGGCAAGCAAGCAGAGAAGACCAAGACCAACGTGAAGAAATTGAGCAAACTTCAAAGGTGAGCATTCCTATGGAGGAGAGACTCAAAAAATTCAGGGAAGAAGCAGCAGAAGAAGAAAGGTCATCAACTCAGGCTCAAAATATCAAACCAAAGATCCAAAGGGTTCCCTTCATGCTCCGAGAGTACAAAAATTTCGACAAATACTACGAGCCAAGGGTAGCTGCCATCGGTCCTTTCCACCATGGTAACCCAAAGTACGAGCAGGCAGAGAAAGTCAAGCGTTACTTAGCTGCGAAATTTGTCAAAGACAGTGAACAGAATGATGAAGATTTCCTCAAGAAGGTTGAGGAGAACATCAAGGAACTAAGGGAGTGCTATGATGAGGAAGCAACAAAGAAATATGACGACGATTCCCTCACGTGGATGCTGTTCATTGATGGGTGCTCGACTCTGGAATTCATATACAAATATGAAGAGTTAGAATCTTTTAAGATCAAGAGAGACCAGGTGGCCTTTGCAGAACAGGACATGTTCTTGCTAGAGAACCAACTTCCTTATCAACTCCTCAAGCTGCTGATGCTGGTGCTCTCGAGCAGCAAACATGAGCACTTGAAGGAGTCAATCGAGAGCTTTGTTCAGATGCACGGCGTTGCACCAAGTGAGAATCAGAAGCCACAACAAGGTGCACGAAAACTGGAAGAGAAGCCACCACAACCGGGAGCAGGCGGAGCACAAAACACGCAACCGCGTGCTGATCAAGTAAGAGTAAGCGTGGAACCAGAGCCAACTCATCTTCTTGAGCTTCTTCTGACAAGAATGCTAGGATATCCACCTAAGAAAAGTGAGACAAGTGCAAGTGCCCAACCGGAAGCAGTCGGAGCACGAAACACGCAACCTCATCTTCTTAAGAATCTTCGGACAAAAATGAAAGGATATCTACCTAAGAAAAAAAGAAAGTCACGTGCCCAATCTTTTCGCAATGTACAAGAGCTTCAGGCAGCCGGGATCCATTTTAGGCATAGCAAGGAGGGCAACTTTTTGGGCAACATATATTTTAAGAGCTATATATGCTGTGGGTTCCTTTATATTCCTAAAATAAAAGTAGACGATTCTATGGGGCCTAAATTCATGAACTTGATAGCCTATGAAATGTGTCCCGATTTCCAGAACGATTTCGGGGTCACCTCTTACATAAGCTTCCTCGATTCGCTCATCGATCATCCGGATGATGTGAAGCATCTGAGGAAAAAGCACATACTTCGAAACTTACTTGGGAGTGACGAGGAGGTGGCTAAACTCTTCAATGAGATAGGCACTGACTTGGTGCCTAACAATGCAATTTACAGCAAAGTTAAACGCGACATAGAAAAACACTACATGACCAAGTGGAAGAAATGGGTGGCTCAATTCTTTCATGAGCATTTCAGCAGCCCCTGGACTATCCTGGCTTTCATTGGTGCTCTCTTAGGGCTTTGGATGACCGCGGTTCAGACGTGGTACACCGTCAATTCTGATACCCCTCCATGTGAGGCCTTACTTGAGTACCTGAAAGCGCGCGGGCACTAAAAGGACTACGAGCATGATAATTATAATGTAATATGCGTACGTAAGTTTGTTGTGATCCCTTCAGCCTTTTTTCAGGTACTAAAAATACATTTGCTGCTTTGCAATTTGTGTGCTACATGGTTCTGTACGTCCCCCCAATTACGACTTCTTCTAGAGGTTTTCACAAGTCATAGCTTCTCAAGGGTCCTCTTTCCATTTGGTATTTTACTGTCACTGTCAGCAGATGTGACTAAAATAAGGCAAGTTGAACATGTGTGCTTTTTTCTTAATTTGGTGGAACTTTTTGTTTGATTTTAGTTGAAGTTTGTGTGTAACATGCTTATTGTAAGTTGTCATTTCATAATCGATGTGATTCTCGGAAAATAAATAAATAAATAAAATAAACAATTTGTGATCATGTGTGGCCTTTGTTGTAATTAATCCCTAAATTAATCATGCAGATTACATGTTGGAAGCCTCTTGTTTGTTTTATAGCATTTCCAAACTTTAAAATATTATGCGAGAGTCAATGTGTCTATTAATGCAATAAGTTGACACTACTGGACATATAATATCAAAGAATACTGTGTTCATTCTGGTAAATCTCTTCACAAAATTGAGTCAGGTGAGTTAATACAACCTTCGATTACATCAAATTTGGAACTTTTTAGAACGATAAAGCACATTCAAACATTATGGCTTAGGTGACTTTGCTTTGGCTTTTGGCGCACGTATTTATGTGTAATCCTAATGAATTACGTGACTCACGTTCTTTACATGAAAATTTCTCTTCAAGGATGCAAACTCTACTTTACACGCATATCACATTATTGGTTCTTATCGTACGTAGGACACTAGCTAGATTTTTTCTTCTTTTTCTTTTGGTCTGAAGGACACTAGCTGGATTTTATTTATTTTTGGTCTAAAGGACACTAGCTATATATTACATGACTCACGTTTTTTATCATTTTATTTGAAAATTTCTCTTCACAGATGCAAACTCTACTTTACATGCTACTGCATGATTAAAGTTACAAGGCAAACAAACTTTTTATCTGATGGAGACAAAAAAGCTCTCATATGATCTTTCTTTGGCCTACAAACTTTTTAGTGTACTTACTAATAAAAACATATACCAATCTTCCCATTCACATAAAGTCATTCAAGTGTACATGTTCCAAACATGAAGCATCAGTCTTCTAAATTAAGCTTCTATTTTCTTGAAGCCCAAGTGATGAATTTATGTGGCATGTTGTGCTATATATAAATATGCATGGCATCCACAGATTATTCAGGCCAAACCAAAAAGAAAAAAAGAAAAGAAAAGAATAGCCACAAATCTTCATTTCGACAAGCAGCAGTTTGAAATTAAATGGCCCAAACAAATGAAAATGTAGTTTCCATGGAGAAGGAGCTGTTTGTGAGGCAAGTCACAAGAAGAGGAGACCAAGACCAACCTGCAGAAATTGAGCAAACTTCAAAGGTGAGTATTACAATCCAATAGGTATTCAAATTCCTTTAAGCAAAGCTTTACAATTAACGACACCTAAAGTCCAACTAATAACCCTCTCTCATTTCAGCCGCCTGCCTTCTTCTTCTTCTTCTCTCTCTCTCTCTCTCTCTCAACTGCACCTAATCAAACAAAAAAACAATCCCCTTCGATTGAATGTTTTTCTTAATCGGATCTGATATCCGACCCATTTACAAGTCTAATTTTTGCTCATCTGTGGAGCAGAGCATTAAAATGCCTGATTCTGTGGAGCAGGGAGTTAACAAACTGAGGGACGCAGAAAGAAGACTTGTTCCAGCTCCGGATGACAATTCAGCTAGAAGCTCAAGATCGAAGATCCAAAGTGTTCCTAGAATTCTCCGAAGTCACAGAAGTTTGGATAAATACTTTGAGCCAAGAGTACTAGCAATGGGTCCTATCCATCATGATAAGTGCATTGAAGCAGAGAAACTCAAATACACATTGGCAGCAGACTTTATCAAGGATTCCGGCTGCACCCACTACCAGTTGTACGAGCAGATTCTGGACCGCATCGCTGAAATAAAGGACTGCTACGATAACGAAGCAACAAAGTGCTACGATGATGATGAGACACTCGCCTGGATGTTGTTCATAGATGGATGTTCAACCTTGCAATTCATGCACAAAATTGATCGTTTGGAAGAGTTTGGGATGAACAGAACCCAAGCTGCCTTTGCACGGCTCGACTTGTTCCTGCTAGAGAACCAACTCCCTTATCAAGTCCTCGAGCTGTTGATGAGCTCAAACACAAAAAAAGAGGAGCTGTTCAGCAGTATACAGAGTTTGTTGAACTGCAGATTATTGCAGCAGAAAAGCCATTAGACAGGCTACAAATGGAGAAGCAAGAGGCACTATTGACGCTTAGATCTCACGCGCAAGCCATTAGGGCAGGCTATTTATTTAAAGAAATTGCTGCAGATTTTCTTCGGCCCACTTTTCATCTTCCTGATTATGGTCACCCCACTTATCATCTTCTTGATTTTCTTCGGGAAAGAATGCTAGGTCCACCACCAAAGGTTCCTAAAGATCAAGGACGGACCTAGGATTTCAAATTAGGGTGGGCTAGATTTACCTTACGTACAAGCAATGAAGGGAGGAACATAATCAATGAAATCGACGTGTATAGATTTCCATTTTTTTTTAAAACACAAAACCTATATTAATTAACCAAAACAAAAACTCACACTAACCAACAAAAGGAATAAACTCATACTAATTAAACAATTACTAATGAAGAAGCTATTTTTTTTCTTTCCAAAAATGTAGAAATTATTAGGATTAAGGGTTTATGGCGTAAAACATGAATGATTATACTTACAAATATATTGGAATTTTAGGGGACTATACGGGGCTGACCTACTTTCATTTGTATATTTTTAATTACAAAACCTGTACAATCAAATGTTTTGGCCAAGCCAAAAAAATAAATTACATAGAATTTTTTTACATAAAAATTGTAAATCCCTAATTGATACTTCATAAACTCTAAAAAGTCCCAAATTTCAACATCAACAAATTAAGACAATAAAAGAAGATTAATAATTGAAGATTAATTTGGTTTGCTTTAATTAAGCTTTGAAGGGCGTGTAACAGGAGAGATGATTGGCTCTTTCTTCAATTTGTTTTTTCTCTGCGTGCATTAGCTAAGGGTTTGTGGGGGTTTTCTTGGGTGGGCTGGGAGTATTACTATAGGCTAGGACAAATCAAGACACCTGGGGAATGGGTCCGTGATCATCGCAAAGAAGACAATTCACCATCTTTTCGCAATGCACAGGAGCTTAAGGCAGCGGGGGTTCATTTTAGGCGCAGCAAAACTAGCTCCTTGTGGGACATATCTTTTACTTCTCTAGGGTTTGTTGGATTTCTTAGTCTTCCTCCAATAAACGAAGACGCAATGCCTTTGTTCTTGAATTTGATAGCCTACGAAATGTGTCCTGATTTCCCAAATAATTTTGGTGTCACCTCTTACTTCAGCTTCCTCAGTTCACTCATTGCTCATCCCAACGATGCTAAGCAGCTACGGTCAGCCCGCATACTTTGCAACTTGCGTGGGAGCGACGAAGCACTCGCGAACCTCTTTCACGAGATAGGCCCTGATTTGGTGCTTGCCCATCCCATGTACAACTTTATCAATGCCAAATTAGAAAAACACTACAAGACCAAGTGGAAGGCATGGTTCGCTCAATTTTTCGAAGATCATTTCAGTAGCCCCTTGGTCATGCTTGCTTTCATTGGAGCTCTAACAGCGCTTGTCTTAAGCGGCATCCAGACTTGGTACACAGTCCTCAGTTTTTATCAGAAATAGGGTTCCCTATTTACATTTTCAATCCTAATGATGTGTTTATGGCAGAGACAACGTCATTTTTAATCCTCTGTTTCCTTCAAGCCCAGTTAATCAAATGAACAATTTAAATTCTTGTGTATACCTTTGTTCAATCAAATACTTCATTAAAGCCAACAAGCAGCAAAACAGAGCAGGAAATCCACAATATGTGATTCTCGGAAAAAAAAAAAAAACAATAAATAAATTAACAATATGTGATCATGTGTGGCCTTTGTTGTAATTAATCCCTAAATTAATCATGCAGATTACATGTTTTTTTTTTTTTTATCAAATAGAAAGATTCATTCAACCGTAGCACCAACCAATGATAACGTTTACAAATGAACGGAGAGCGTTAGTGTGGCCTCATTAAAACCTTGCCATCCAAAACCCCCAATGGATGTTGGAAGCCTCTTGTTTGTTTCATAGCATTTCCAAACTTATAAATAATAATAATAATAATAAAAAGATATTTTAAGAGGGATCTCATATCCTGTCAAATTTAACTGATAATATTATGTGAGAGCCAATGTGTCTATTACTGCAACAAGTTGACACTACTGGCCATATAATATCAAAGAATATTGTGTTTACTCAGGTAAATATTTTCACAAAATTGAGTCAGGAGAGTTAAATACAATCTTCGCTTACATTAAATTTGGAACTTTTTAGGACGATAAAGCACTTTCAAATATTATGGCTTAGGTGACTTTACTTTGCTTTTTGGCGCACGTATTTATGTGTAATAATAAATTATACTTTTCAGCAAATTTTGTTTTGAATGTCTAACATTCATGGCTCAAGAATCTAGTTCATGGCTCAAGAATCTAGTTCAGTTAAAAAACCAATGTTTGGAGTAATTTTTGAGTGTTCCGGGTACACCACGTGGCTGGTGTACCATCCAATAGACAGAAGACATATGAAATATTTTCAATGCAGCCCGCCACATGTCATAAAAAGAAATGCAATAAGTTGGACAATAATTCCACATGTCCTATGTTTATTGGATGGTACACCATCCAATGTTTGAGAGTAAAGAAGAATTGTGATTTTATGAACAAAGAGCTTGGTATCCGTTGAATCTTGGCCTTTAGATTATTGTATCCGTTGAATTTGGCTAAAAGAATATAGTTGTTGGTTTGTCAGAGTGAAAATTGGACCCTTTGATCAACTAGCCGTTGGACCAGATTTCAAGCCGTTTGTTTTTTATTAAAAAAAAACCACATCAATTCATTTTGCAATGTAGCCGTTGGTGATGACATCAAATAAACTATAATTGACGCGGGCCCCACATATAAACTTTGTCTAGCAACTACCCTATAGGCGCGCGTCTTGGACAAGTGGATTTACTTTCGGCCTTTTTGCTGCACACTCTTGTCCACCCTCCCTCATTTCAGCCGCCTGCCATCTTCTTCTTCTTCCCTCTCTCTCTCTCTCTCTCTCTCTAATCAAACAAAAAAACAACAATCCCCTCGGATTGAATGTTTTTCTTAATCGGATCTGATATCCGACCCATTTACAAGTCTAATTTTTGCTCATATGTGGAGTCAGATTATGTAAGAGGGAACTAACTGCCGCGCAAAAGGAAGACAAATTAATCAGGAAGCGAAATTTGGTTCCAATCAGCAGAGCATTAAAATGCCTGATTCTGTGGAGCAGGGAGTTAATAAACTGAGGGACGCAGAAAGAAGACTTGTTCCAGCTCCCGATTACAATTCAGCTAGAAGCTCAAGATCGAAGATCCAAAGTGTTCCTAGAATTCTCCGAAGTCACAGAAGTTTGGATAAATACTTTGAGCCAAGAGTACTAGCAATGGGTCCTATCCATCATGATAAGTGCATTGAAGCAGAGAAACTCAAATACACATTGGCAGCAGACTTTATCAAGGATTCCGGCTGCACCCACTACCAGTTGTACGAGCAGATTCTGGACCGCATCGCTGAAATAAAGGACTGCTACGATAACGAAGCAACAAAGTGCTACGATGATGATGAGACACTCGCCTGGATGTTGTTCATAGATGGATGTTCAACCTTGCAATTCATGCACAAAATTGATCGTTTGGAAGAGTTTGGGATGAACAGAACCCAAGCTGTCTTTGCACGGCTCGACTTGTTCCTGCTAGAGAACCAACTCCCTTATCAAGTCCTCGAGCTGTTGATGAGCTCAACCACAAAAAGAGAGGAGCTGTTCAGCAGTATACAGAGTTTTGTTGGAATGCAGATTATTGCAGCAGAAAAGCCACTGGAGTACAGTCGAGAAAGGGAGAAGCAAGAGATGCTATTGAAGATTCGAGCTCATGAGCAAGCCATCAGGGCAGCCTATTTATTTAAAGAAGCCGCTGGTCATCCTTCTGATTATCTTCGGCCCACTCATCATCTTCCTGATTATGGTCACCCCACTTATCATCTTCTTGATTTTCTTCGGGAAAGAATGCTAGGTCCATCACCAGAGGTTCCCAAAGATGATCATCGCAAAGAAGACAATTCACCATCTTTTCGCAATGCACAGGAGCTTAAGGCAGCGGGGGTTCATTTTAGGCGCAGCAAAACTAGCTCCTTGTGGGACATATCTTTTACTTCTCTAGGCTTTGTTGGATTTCTTAATCTTCCTCCAATAAACGAAGAAGAAATGCCTTTGTTCTTGAATTTGATAGCCTACGAAATGTGTCCTGATTTCCTAAATAATTTTGGTGTCACCTCTTACTTCAGCTTCCTCAGTTCACTCATTGCTCATCCCAACGATGCTAAGCAGCTGCGGTCAGCCCGCATACTTTGCAACTTGCGTGGGAGCGACCAAGCCCTCGCCGGCCTCTTTCACGAGATAGGCCCTGATTTGGTGCTTGCCCATCCCAAGTACAACTTTATCAATGCCAAATTAGAAAAACACTACAAGACCAAGTGGAAGGCATGGTTCGCTCAATTTTTCGAAGATCATTTCAGTAGCCCCTTGGTCATGCTTGCTTTCATTGGAGCTCTAACAGCGCTTGTCTTAAGCGGCATCCAGACTTGGTACACAGTCCTCAGTTTTTATCAGAAATAGGGTTCCCTATTTACATTTTCAATCCTAATGATGTGTTTATGGCAGAGACAACGTCATTTTAAGGTTTAGGATTTCTCCTCCTTTCTGATCTCTACAAGAATCAAACCAATCTAGTACACATTTTTTTTATCCTCTGTTTCCTTCAAGCCCAGTTAATGCAATGAACAATCAAATATTTCATTAAAGCCAACAAGCAGCAAAACAGAGCAGGAAATCCACAAGCCACAAGCTGCACATTTTGTCAAACAAGTAATATGCATTCAACTATCTCACACTTCTCATACAAACCTTATCATTCCAAATTTCAGTACAACACCAGGAGATATCTCCAACAACGAACCACATAATCACATCAATGAACAATTTAAATTCTTAATTATGCATTTGCATATGAACCTTTTCATGATTGGGTCATGGTCTCAATGAAAGCCTTTGATGGGATGGGAAGTCCCAATATTGAATTCTCAAGTCCTCAAAATGGGCAATGGTATTCGTCCTTGGAGATGGTCAGCGAATAGCGATAGAGCACCAGAGGTGTTGTTGCATTGAAACTTAGGGCTTGAGAGTTCAGAGACGTGGTTGGGTAGGGCTTCAGAGTTGACAGGCCAGAGGATGCTCCAGAGTCCAGACTATTTTGGAGTTTTTAATTTTTAATTTTTTTAAAGCAAAAAAGAAGTTAACAGATTTAATTCTCTGTTCGGAAAAAACCAGATTTAATTCTCTGTTAAATGGTAGGACATGTGTCAAACATTTAAAGAGGGGAAATGGAGGGGACACAAAGACAGCGGATCCGCTACTGAAGATCCAGAGTGCTCCTAGAATTCTCTCGAGTCACATACGTTATAGCATTTCCGTTGTTAAAGACCAAGCAATTTTATTTGGCCCTTTTATTTTTAAACTTTCAATAAACTAGTCTCTTTGCACGCGCTTTCACACCTATAATAAGTTTTTTTTTTAATTTAAAATTTATTTTGGAATTAAAAAAGTTAATGGGTAGTTATATTCCATAAAAATAAGATCCATGATTTGATTTTTCTTTTAATTTTAAATTTTTTTAATATAAAAAAGTTTGAATTTACCATATTATCTTTATTTAATTAATAATTTCAATTATTAATATTTTGCATTAACCAAGGGCATTTTCTGGTATTTTGAATGTTTTACCATTCTCTGCCTTTTGCTTTATATATATTGATATCTTGTAGGGCCTAAATAATTATATATATATATAAAGTTTTGAGGCCCCTTGATTCGAGGCCTTTGGTGATCACCCTCGAAGCCCAAGCCTAAGGCCGACCATCAGGAGTTATTTGGAGTCCATTTGTTTTCGTCATTTTCTTCTTATCCAAATTTTAGCATGCATGGATTGTAGTAGTCTAAACAAACAATTTGATATTATAATTTTATTCAAATCCTTATATTGGAATTACTCCATGTAAATCCTAATGAATTATGTGACTCGCGTTCTTGATCATTTTATTTGAAAATTTCTCTTCATGGATGCAAACTCTACTTTACGTGCGCATCACATTATTGATTCTTATCGTTCGAGACTAGCTAGCTTTTTCATTCTTTTTTTAATGAAAGAAACAATCCCAGGTAAGTATTTTAGCAAGTCGTAATATTTATGCCAAGCCAATATTCATGATGAGCAAAACCTTCTCTTTTTTCAAGAGTGTGGTCCAAGATAACATATATGCCACAGCATGATTAAAGTTACAGGCAAACAGAATTTTTATTTTATCCGGTGGAGAAAAAAACAACTTCTTTATGATTGGTGTACTTACTAATAAAATATATACCAATCTTCCGATTTATATAAAGTCATGCAAGTGTACTTATTCCTTCACGAACACTATCAATATTGTGTCATCCAAGTATATCAAGGATCTCTCTTCTGAATTAAGCTTCTATTTTCTTGAAGCTCAAGTGATGAATTTCTGTGGCATGTTGCTATATATATATATATGCATGCCATAATAGCCACAGATCATTCAGGCCAAATCACGAAAAAAAAAAAAAAGAATAGCCACCTATCTTCATTTCGACTAGCAGCACTTTGAAATTACATGGCCCAGAAGGAGCTGTTTGACAGGCAAGTTACCAAAAGAGGAGGTGGACAAGTAAGCAGAGGAGATCAAGACCAAACTGCAGAAATTGAGCAAACTGTGAGTATTTACAATCCCTGAGGAGGCAATAAAAATTAGGGAGATTCACTATTATACCCAATATAGGAGCCCAAATTATATAAATACCCTATATGAAATGGACTTTAAAAACACACCCAAAACCCATTTACAACATAACAAAAAGGCTTTTAACTTTTTATAAATTGCAAAATTGTCATCGATTTCTTAAAACAAGCACAACCCCAAAACCTCATAAACAAACCCAAAATACTCAATAGGGCATCAAAATAATTTAATAATCAAAATTAAATTAAATAGAGCCAGTTGTTATTTTTTGGGTTTTTTTTGGTTTGTTTATAGAAATTAAATGGTATAGGGGTTATTTATATTTTTTGTGCTAAGAATGGGTATATGACTAAATATCTCTAAAAACTATTCCTGGCTAGAAGAGACTCAAAATATTCAGGGAAGTAGCAGCAACAGAAGAGGCAATAAGGTCATCTCGGTATCAAAATATTAATGACAAACCAAAGATCCAAAGGGTTCCCGTCATGTTCCGAGATCACTCAAATTTCAGAGGATACTTCGAGCCAACGGTAATTGCCATCGGTCCTATCCACCATGGTAAACTAAGGTACGAGTGGGGAGAGGAACTCAAGCTTCAATTAGCGGTAAATTTTGTCAGAGACAGTGAGCAGAATGAAGTACGTTTACTCAAGAAGGTTGACGAGTACATCAAGGAACTAAGGGAGTGCTATGACAAGGAAGCAATAAAGAACTATGACAACGATTCCCTCGCATTGATGTTGTTCGTTGATGGGTGTTCGACGCTGGAATTCATATACAAATATGATGACTTGGAATCTTTTCAGATCAAGAAAGACCGGGTGGTCTTTGCAGAACGGGACATGTTCTTGCTAGAGAACCAACTTCCTTATCAACTCCTCAAGCTGTTGATGAGCTCCAGCAACATACATGAGGCCTTGAAGGACTCAATCGAGAGGTTTGTTCAGATGCACGGGGTTGCACCAGGTGCAACTAAGCAGCATCCTCAACACGAAACAATACCCATGGAACCAGAGCCAACTCATCTTCTTGAGTATCTTCTGACAACAATGCTAGGATATCCACCTAAGAGAAAAAGTGAGACAAGAGCAAGTGCCCAATCTATTTGCAATGTACAAGAGCTTCAGGCAGCCGGGATCCATTTTAGGCAGAGAAAGGGGCCAAGCGTATTGAGCGACATATATTTTAAGAGCTATATATGCTGTGGGTTCCTTTATCTTCCCAAAATAAAAGTAGACGACTTGATGCGGCTTAAGTTCATGAATTTGATAGCCTACGAAATGTGTCCCGATTTCCAGAATGATTTCGGGGTCGCCTCTTACATAAGCTTCCTCAATTCACTCATCGATCATCAGGATGATGTGAAGCATCTGAGGAAAAAGCACATACTTCGAAACTTACTTGGGAGTGACGAGGAGGTGGTTCGACTCTTCAATGAGATGGACACTATCGTGGTGCCTAACAATCAATTTTCCGACAAGGTTAAAAGCATGATAGAAGCTCACTGCAACGCCACGTGGAAGATATGGATAGCTCAATTCTTTCACGACCATTTCAGCAAGCCCTGGGTTTTGGGTTCCATTGGTATTCTCTCAGGGCTTGGGATGATCGCTGTTCAGACGTGGTACACCGTCAATTCTGATAACCCTTCATCTCCATGTAAGGCCTTACTTGAGTACCTGAAAGCGCGCGGGTACTAAAAGGACTACGTACTTTAGCTAAAAGCATAGTCTGGCAGCATATGATGTGGTAATTAACATATACGAACTTGATATTATAATTAATGTAATAAGTACACATCAATTGCGCTTAAGTTTGTTGTGATTCCTTCAGCCTTTTTCAGGTACTAAAAAGACATTTGCTGCTTTGCAATTTGTGTGCTGCATGGTTCTATACGTCCCCCCAATTACGACGTCTTCTAGAGGTTTTCACAAGTCATGGCTTCTCAAGGGTCCTCTCTCCATTTGGTATTTTACTGTCAGCAGATGTTACTAAAATAAGGCAAGTTGAAAATTGTGCCTTTTTCTTAATTTGGTGGAATTTTTTTATTTATTTATATATTTTAGTTGAAGTTTGTGTGTAACATTCTTATTGTAAGTTGTCATTTCATAATCGATGTGATTCTCAAAAAATATATAAACAATAAATAAATAAACAATTTGTGATCATGTGTGGCCTTTGTTGTAATTAATTCCTAGATTAATCATGCAGATTACATGTTGGAAGCCTCTTGTTTGTTTTATAGCATTTCCAAACTTTAAAGAAAAGAAAAAAGATATTGCAAGAGGGATCTCATATTCTGTCAAATTTAACTAATAATATTATGTGAGAGTCAATGTGTCTATTAATGCAACAAGTTGACACTACTGACCATATAATATCAAAGAATATTGTGTTTACTCTGGTAAATCATTTCACAAAATTGAGTCAGGAGAGTTAAATACAACCTTCGCTTACATCAAATTTGGAACTTTTTAGGACGATAAAGCACATTCAAACATTATGGCTTAAGTGACTTTGCTTTGCTTTTTGGCGCATGTATTTATGTATAATAATAAACTATACTTTTCAGCATATTTTGTTTTGAATGTCTAAATTCATGGCAAAAGAATCTAGTTTAGTTATCTAGTGATTTTTTAGGGGATAATTGTATCTAAATTGAAGATTTTACCGGTCCAATAGATAGAAAATTGATGAAATTTGAAGGAAAAGTAAAAATTGGACATGCGCCATAATTGGAGGACCAAAATGATTCAAAAATGAGTTGGAGATCAATATAAAACTCGAGTATAAGTTTATAGACCATTACAAATAGATACCATTTAAATAAAGAAACTCTCGAAACCAAATGGAATGATAATAAGCTAGCCTGATTTAAGTGATGCTATTTTATGATTTTAGTAGATGCATCTGCAAGATGGGTTTTCACCTTGTGAACTCGTAATGCATTTACTAGACTTCTTATCAAGTAATTAAATTACTCGTAATGTGAGCACAATTCCTCACCCTCCTACGTTTACTTTCCAAAACTTTTGATAACTATTGCATTATCACTTGGGCATTGATGTTGAGTATCCAATTCCCCATATCCATATCCAAAATGGCTTAGCAAGAGTTTTTATTAAGCGTCTTGCTTGCACTTTGCTTTTGAGAACAAAGCCGCCAATTTTGGAGACATATGCAGCATCATACTTACGATTGAGAACCGTTGCCAACCATCAATATTCACTTTTACAATCATTTGTTCGGTTGAGAACTATTATACCAACCATCAATACTCTCTTTTACAACTTGCTTTTGAGAGGCAACCCAATATTTCACATTTGAGGCTTTTTGGTTGTGAAGCTTATGTGCCTATTAATTGTTCCCTCACAATGCACTAAAATTGGTCCTCAACGTGGAGTCCATGGACTCCCGGGTTGTATTGACTTTAATTCGCCGCATATTATTCGATATATCTCAAACCCTTCACGGGTGGATTTGTAACAATAAAAAGCTCTCCCTCGCCTGGTGAATTTGTTAAACTAAACTTTGATGATGGTCTGATGCTGCGATCAGACTATGTAGCTCTTGAGTGTCTTAATGCTTTTGGTTAATCATCTTAATGCTTTTGGTTAAGCTTCTGCTTCCTGTGATGAGTTGTGAGTTTAAAGTTTTTTGTTGGACCCCAAGCATATAACCAGCTGTTCCTTTTGTAGAGTTTTTACAGAACTTGCTTAGATACGAGAATAAAGTTGCAAGCAACAACTTTTAAGTTTTCCCAAACAGCACTTCTTCCATATACAATGATTGGCGTATATGCTAAACTTGTGATGAAGTTAAAGTCACTATCAAATGTGTGAATTTCAAGAAATCATTCGAAGCCTCCCATGCAAATAAAGTCATTATATTTGCCTTTTCCTTTTGGCCTGGAAAGCCACAAGATGTACTTGCTCAATAGCAAAGTGCATATCCAAATATATTTGAATAATAAGGGTGACGGATCCTATATTCTTAGTTAAATTTCAAGTGCCTAAAACCTATGGTTTACTATAAAATGCAGAAACTAGGGAATATCAAAGCTTTGCTTTGTTTAGACGAGCACCTAGAAAATTAGCCTGAGATTGGAAGTGAAAAAACCATAGTTTCCATGGGGGAGGCAAGGGAAATTCGTCAGAAGAGATTCAAAGAATTGAGGGATGCACCAAAAAGTCCAATACACAGCTCGCAACCGAAGATCCAAAAGGTTCCCTTCATGCTCCGGGATCACAAAAATTTCGAGAAATACTATGTGCCAAGGGCAGTAGCAATTGGCCCTTTCCATCATGATAATCCAAGGTGCAAGCTGGCACAAAAATACAAGCTTATGTTGACATCAAAGTTTGCCCAATTTGTTGGCCAGACAGATGAAGATTTGTATAAGAAGATTGAGGAGAAGATCAAAGAACTAAGGGAATGCTACGTCAAGGAAGAAATAGAGGACATTGATGATGATACCCTCGCCTGGATGTTGTTCTTAGATGGGTGTTCAACCTTACAATTCATATACTCCCTTATGCACGAGCATGAAGAGTTTGAAAAATTGTTTGAAATAAAAAGAGACCAGGTAGCCTTTGCACAGCAAGACTTATTCTTGCTGGAGAATCAAATCCCATATCAAGTCCTCGAGCTGTTGATGAGCTCAAGCAACAGACGTGAGGATTTGAGACGCGCAATCGAGAATTTTGTTCGGATGCACATTATTGTACCCACAGAGAAGCAATCAAAAGGGCAGGAACAGAAGCACCAACCAGGAATAACAGAAAACAGGGAACAGAAGCAAGAACCAGACACGACAGCAAGCATGGAACAGAAGGTAGACATAACAGAAAACACAGAAACAAAGCAACAACCAGGAGTAACAACAGATGCGAATCAGAAGCAACAACCAGGCGTAACAACAGATGCGAATCAGAAGCAACAACCAAGCGTACCAATACCCATGGAGAAAGAGCCCATTCATCTTCTTGACCTTCTGCGCAAAAGAATTATAGGTTCACCAAAAGAGGATGTTCCGAAGAAAGGAGTTGGAGAGTTCTCTAAACAAACTTTTCGCAATGTGCAGGAGCTTAGTGCAGCCGGGATACATTTTCAGCCCAGTAAGAGTAACTTCTTGGGGGACATATCTTTTAAGTCTCATTGCTTTGCAGGATTCCTTAGTCTTCCTCCAATATCAGTAGACGACTCAACAGGGCCTAAGTTCATGAATTTGATAGCCTATGAAATGTGTCCTGATTTCCAAAATGATTACGGGGTTACCTCTTACATAGGTTTCCTCGATGCACTCATTGATCATGCTGAAGATGTTAAGAAGCTAAGGTCAGCGTCTGTGCTGTTCAACTTTCTTGGGAGTGATAAGGAGGTGGCTAAACTCTTCAATGAGATAGGCACTGACTTGGTACCTAACACTGCCATATACCTCAGTGTTAAAGCCGAATTAGAAAAGCACTACAAAACCAAGTGGAAGACCTGGATGTCTCAGTTCTGTCACGATCACTTCAGTAGCCCCTGGACTATCCTGGCTTTCCTTGGGGTCTTATCAGCACTTGGGTTAAGCGGCATCCAGACTTGGTACACAGTCCATCCTTAACCCTCTCTCTGTGAGGCTGTATGCCAGTACTTGAAAACACGGCTACACATAGCCTGAGAGATACATATAGGTACTAAAAGACATGCTTCGGTTGTTTTTACATGCATTTCTTCTTTCTGGTTTGTTTGGCTACATGGTTTTATACCTTCTAGTTGCCGGTGCCAGTTTTGTGAGGGTCCTCTCCATCTGGTAATTCCAACCTATCAGATCTCATTTATATTTCTGTGTGTGCAGGTGTGACTATAATAAGCCAAGTTGTCTTAATTGGTTGAGGTGTTTATCAGAATGTAATTTAATTTTGTGTGGCCAATGTGTTTGCAAGTTTTCGTTTAAGCAACCAAGTGATTCCATATGTTGCCTATTTTATGAGTTTCAGTAAACTAACCAGCATGTTACATGTTGCAAGAAACATTTCCCAAACATTTCCAAAGCCTCTTGACAAAATTGGTCAGGTGCACAGCAACCTCAGCTTAAATCGAATTTTCTGTTCAAATTGACAAAACCAAATGCAACCACCCAAAAAGCTCAGCTGAAATCGAATTTGGAGTTGCATTTTAAGTTCTAACCGACCCCAATTAGACCAACTTGACAAAAAGATTAGTCCAAACAAAATCAGATGAGGTGTAAACATGATTAGTCCAAACAATTTTAGAAAATCATTGAGATTTGAGTTACTTGTTGTGACCCTATGAATTCTGCATCAACTTCAATTAACTTTTCCATCTTCAAAACCTGGCCTATACAACTCATGATTTAGAGGTATTGTCTCAGCAATGCAACAGTAACCATTATTCTTTTTTGTTCGTTTTCTTTTTTCTTACAAACCAAAATGGGTAAACCAACAGGACAAGAAAACTAACCTTTATTGATTTGATTGCACAGCATAAAATATTAAATAATTAATTAATTAAACAAATTGACTTGCAAGTAAGAACACAGCTAGGTAAATTATTTGAAATTTAAAATGATTAAAGCCATGTTCAACAACAAGAGTTTCTAAGTATTGTACATATAATAATAAGGGAGGATTACTTTTTCTTCCTTTTTTTTTCCTTTTTGTTATAAAGAAAGAGTAGTTGATTCATAATGATTTGCTGACAACTATTAGCAATTGTATGTATTTTCAAGATGCAAATTTATCGACGCAAATTGCATAATACAAATAATATCAGTCCTAATCTCTATCCTGTATCAAGTTGTTGATCATCTTTACCAAAGGAAGAGTCCCCTTTGCCATAATTTCTATTCTACTAGCATTAGAAGCATGAGAAAACAGTGAAAGCCCAAAAAATACAAGATCAGGTAGAAAGAGTCGAGATGACAAGAATCCGTGCCAATAACGGGGTTCTAGATCAAAGAATGCATTGAAAAACCTCCGAGTACTTTTCAAATCAAGCTTAAGCAGAATAGCCATACCAAAA